CCTCAGTCTCTCCTGGTGAAGCTGTTCCACTGTGTATAAATAATGAGTCATTGGAGCAGGGGGACGATACCTGGGGTCTCCCACCTCCCATGTGGGTGTCCTAACCGCTGGACTACAGAATCATTCTTCTTCTCTTTCTCTGGCCCAATGACTATGTAAGTATTTATCCACAATGGAACAGTCATAGGGCGAGAGAGAGAGAGAGAAGGAATTACTCTGTAGTTCCCATTTGTGACTCGCTAAGCAAAGATAGGTGCCTCCTGGCAGCCCTGACTTAGGCACCCATCTCCAAAAGAGGGGCAGGGTTTAGGACACTCCTCTCCTCAGCATCTCCCATAGGCTAGGTTAGGTGGCTCCCTGCCTAGCATGCTGGCTTTTGTAGATCGCATTCTTAGGCACCTCTCTCTCCCCATTCATTGTATAAGGAATCTAAATGCCTAACTTGGCTTTGTGGATCGCAGTCTTGTTCCTGCAATTCTTCCAGGCACCAGAAAGTTAGGCTCTGTGACACTCCGTGTCGCAGTGCCTAAATCTGTTGATGGATCTCACCCATAAAGTCTGATACTGATGCCACTGAAGTCAATAGCAAAACTCTTACATCAGTAGTTCAGGATCTGACCCATAAATTATTAACTAGAACAGTGCAAATCCAGCAGTCTTAATTACACTAGAGCAGCAACAGTCAGCACATAGTCAATGCATGTAATATTCCTTACATTGCATATTTTCCCCAGGAATTATGCTGATTTTACATCTGTAATTAGAGGACAGAACAGATTACGATTAATTAATTTAGCATGCGATTAGTGCATGTCGCCAAGCAGTTGTTCAAGTTTATTTTTGCATGGGGAAAAGGATGTCCTTTTTTTTAAACATAAACCTATTTGGTAAAAGAGAAAAATGAACATAATTCCTGATTCCTGCAGATAAAATACACTGTGAAGCTGTGTATTGCTTGCTGCCTGGCTCTTTTTGTTGGTCAGTTAACTGTCATGCAAAAGAGAACGAGCAAATTATGTTGAGTATAATGAGCAGTTTTCACCCAGTCATCATACCTCCCTAAAATCTCCCTGTCTTTCAATATCAAGATTTGTCACTGTAAAATAAATCATTATGATTGATTTACAGACCAGAATAGTTGTTTACTCCAATCATTAAGAAAATCGGGTACCTCTAAAAGCACAATTGTTGTTTTCCTGAATATGAAGTACTTATTGTGACAAGATGACTTATGCTTCACTCATATTTCAGTTATGGTATTTAACTTATTATTAGTAAATAAGGGTCAGTCATCAGACAGCAGTTTGACTGACTACAGTATAGCCCATTTGGTATAATTTTCTACATTTTGTCTCTTTGTTGCCAGTGAAATGTCTCTACATTATCAAACTTAATCCAAAGGGACACATTATTGTCATTATCTTCAGGAAGTTCTAATCATTGTATGCTTTTTTTAAAACAAATGATTATCATGAAATGTGTGAAGTTGGTCCTGGGTTGATATTTGACAAGCACGTACCTTGTCATCCTAATTTTTCCATTTCCAGGATGCAATTGATTTTTTGTTTAATTTTTAAATGTGCATACAATGGGAAAATTAATTTAAAATGTTATAAAGTAGCCCAAACCCAGGGTACAATCAGGTCAGACATCATCAAATAAAATTTCTCCTTTTGTCATGGGAAGATGGTAAACTTGTCATCAAATATGGTGCACACAATTTAAACATTCCTTGCACATGATACTGAGATAGAGGATGGGTTGAATTTACCTAGACCCTGCTATCCCCTTCTGCGGGTTCCTCTAGTGACAATTCTGATTTAAACCATTTTGAGAGACAGGTTACCAGACTAACGAATCAGTTAGTTCTGGTGTGGTAATGGTAAATCTTATATTCTTATGTTAATATTATGTCAATATGTTAATATTCTTATGTTAATAAAATTTCCTAGGTGGTTGATGATTGAAAGACATTGCACTGCCTCTGAGCCAGGGTTGATAACAGACATTTGAGAGAATTTTTTTCCCCCACTGATGATAATATTTTTAACAATTACTGTATGTTATCAGATTTGTGAATTTCAAACATATACCTTCTTGCTGACAGTGACATCTGTTCTCCTATGTGTGCAAACCCAGTGTGCGTGCATGGATGTAGCTGGAATGTATTGTAAGTCTCTGGAAAAGGGGAGAGAGAAAGCCTTAGAAATAAGGTCACTAATGTGCAGGAGTAATTGCTGATCTGTATCAATATCAAAAGGAAAAAGCGCTGGTCAGCAAACTCCCAGTGGAGAACAGCAAGAAACAGCTGAGCTGATTCTTCCTTTCCAAACATTCATTGAATTTTCTGCCAATTACACACTCCCTTCCTTGTGTTAGGGCTCCTCATTAGCAATGCCCTCAAGCAAATCATGTGGTGAGAGCTTCCCCTCACAGCTGCCACCTGTCAGTGACTGGCCCTGAGGTACTGTAGAATGTGGAGAGGGATTTCTCTGCCCCCACCTCCACTCTTCTAATTGGCAGTTCCCCTTTGGTCATTTCTAATGTGACAGATCAGGAAATGCCTGTTCTCTTGTGTAAATCTGAATCCTCATGGCACATGGTACTTAGAGAAACAGCCTCACCTTCTTTTAAGCTTACTTTCCACTTTGAAACCATAAGTAAGGAGATCAATAAAATCCTCCAGTGTCATATTCACATACCATTTTGAATTGTTAAGCTCATGCTTGTGCTATTGTTCATCCTAGTACATGAATTCAGAAGCATAATAAAAATTGCAAGTGCAGCCGAGCAATGGAAACACATCTTGGCATTTTATTTTGCTTTTTAGTCAACGTTTTTAGGCTGAAATTCTGTCCTTAATTGGTCCAGTTGTAGCTGTGTATTACACCTAATATATGTTCGTAATAGAATTTCTAATTCTGCTCCCCAGTATTTTGGGGAGCAGTTTGAGCCACATATCCTTGTCGCTGTATGTACCACTTCTGATGTTTTTCTCTTTCAAATGGTGCTGGTACTCCTGAATAGGAAGCCTTTGAAATTAATGTTATTGTATTGCATGCTCTTGTTTCTTTGACTAGGCTAGAGAGAATATTTTTTGATCTAAATTAAAAAATTGACTCTTTTATTCCTTCATCCCAAAGTGAAGCACCAATGGATGTGCTGAATGCATAGGTACCTATATTATAAGGAAACATTTTTAGCCACTGAAATTCTTTGAAAACTATCCAGGATTCCATTCCCAGTCAGAAATTATATTTTGCTAATTCCATGACATGGCAGCAAAAGTTTAATGGGATATAGTAATTATTCAGTAATATTTTCTAAGTTTAATGTTCACCGACACTGAGCGAATAGAATGCAGACACATACAGATGCTAGGCCCATTACTCCAATGGAAAAAAGCCACCCTGCATCCCCCCAAATTTAAAAAATTAAGGGAATAACGTCTAGAGAAATACATAGAATAAAACTTCCCAGTGTTTCACAGACAATCTACATATACTGGAGCCCTAAGTAATAAATTTCTTTAAGGATAAGCGAGATAGTGAAATACCTTGCCTTACAACCATATAACTTGCAATTAAACACTCAGGAAGAGATTCTGAAAGTCACAAAGTGGGATTCAGCACCAGCTCTCACTGAAATTTAATGGCACTGGGTACCAAACTCCACTTCATGTCTTTCAAAATCAGCATTGCTATATGGTGAGGGGTGGGTTAAAACCATACCCCTCATCAACATTGCAATGCCAACAGATCCCACCCCGACCCCCAGTGTAGACACAGCCAGGTCACTGAAAGAATGCTTCCATCAACATAGCTAACATTGTTCAGGGATGGTGTTCCTCTGATGGGGGGCAGGGTACGTCTATTAGTGTAGACTAAGTCTGTACTATGGAACTGTGTTGGCATAGCTATTCCAGTATGGTCTCCATAGTGTAGACATACCTTTTACCTTTTCATTTTACTGATTAACTGTACTGTGAACCACTGTTTTTATGAAAAAAGGAAAGGAGTACTTGTGGGACCTTAGAGACTAACAAATTTATTAGAGCATAAGCTTTCGTGAGCTACAGCTCACTTCATTGGATACATACCTTTTTATGGAAGCAGAAAACCCATCACTTAAGTTGGACAACCAGTTTCATGTAAAGTCCATTATACTTTCTCCTAAAGTATTTTCAAAAGCAGCTAAATGATTTAGGAGCTTAAGTCCCATTTTCAAAAGTTACTTGAGTATTAAGGAGTAAATTAATGGGATTTAAGCTTCTATATGACTAAGGCCCAGATTCTCAAAGCGATTTGGATACATAACTCTCATTGTTTTCAATGGGAGTTAAACACCTGAGTTCCTTTGAGGATCTGGGCCTAAATCACTCTTGAAAATGGGACTTAGGCTTCTAAGTTACAAATATTTTGTTCAAAGTCTTTGGCTCTCAATGACATGCTGGTAGCTCTTTTACAAACATTTGATCTGATTTTCTTAGCTGGTAGATCTCTCTGGAAATCAGGCCAATTAATGATTAATTCTTACAAGACTCCTTTGAAAGAGGTACTATCCAGATTTTATGGATGAGAAAACTGAAATGCATTAATGGTCTGATCTTTTTTCTTTAGAAGAGCTCAGGGCTTGATTTTTTGAGTGCTCATCATCCATAATAAGGGCCAGATTTTGAAAAGTGCTCAGCTCTCACTGTGACACTTGTGCCCAGATTTTCAAAATGTGGCCCAAATCGTGGATGATGAACACTACCGACAATCTGGCCTTGGATGAGCTAACCAAGGTCACATGGTGAGTCAGTGGCACAGCCAGGAATCAAATGCAGTATTCCTTGCTCCCTGTCTTGTGTTTTAACCACTAGATCACACTGTTTCTGGAAAGCAAAACTATCAGTAAATAGTCCTCTGTTCTGCTCCTTTAATCGTTAATAGGTTAGTGATTTTAGAGTAACTTGTGCAGCAATGCTCTTTTGTTGTTGTTCTCCTCCTCCTTGACAGCTCCTAGATTGTTTTGTTATCCCAGTGGTGATATTACTGTCCTGGTTCTTCCTGCTGGTCCGATACAAGGCAGTTCATTTCATTGGAATTGTGGTCTGCATTCTGGGCATGGGCTGTATGGCAGGAGCAGACGTCCTTGTCGGGAGACAACAAGGAGCAGGTGAGTCTTTGGATACATTTATGTGATTGGCTTTTCATTCAAGGAAAGCTACATAACACTGAGGTGATCCGAGAGGGTAGGAAGGGGGCAAAGAGGGGAAAAGCCCCAAGAGATCATGTGTGGGTTTAAATGTGTTTCTGAGTTTTCAACCATCTCCATGGCTCAACATCCATTCATTGAGGGCAGGAACAATAGAATAAAATGACCCCAACTAATGAGGGTCAGTGCCACTTAGGGAGATGACTTGAAACACTTTTACTTCAAGCCTCAGCAGCAGTCTTGCTCAGCTCTTTGGCTGCATCTTTGAGCTACAGCCCCCTATTCTCTCTCAGCCCCTCCAGTTTGTTTTCTCACTTCTGTTCCCTTTTGCTCACTTTCTGCACACAGCCTACTTCACTGGTCACATACTCAGACACATCCAACCCACAAATTAACAATCTCCATCGTGTGCTGCACCAAACCTGAAATAATGGTTAATTGTGGAGATGCCTGCATCATACCTGAAATGACTTGTTTATATGTAAAACATGCTTTTTTGTGGATTATATGAATAATGTGTGTTTAGCCACAATAATAGCACACTGATGGGCAGTATGGAAGGGACTACATTTCATCAATCAATATCTTCTGTCACATTGATTTTTCTAGTGCCAGCCCAACTGATGTGGGAAGAGAACAAGTTCTTTTCAAAAATTGTCAGTTGGATGCCGTTTTCATTCTAAATTATAAGTACTGAATTTTGAGCTGAGCATAATGCACTGGGATTTTAAAGTCAGTGTTCTGAATACAAATGTAAGTGCAGGGAAAACTGCACTTGCCAAGATGCTACTGAACAAAAACTGAGCAGGTTTATAGAGAGCAGACCAGCCTGTGTTGTCCCATCACTTTCTCTTTTCCTGTCCTGAAGACTTTCACTTCATCTCCCTACCCAAGAAGCAACTCTGTCCCAGTTACAAAGAAGAAGATCTGTTCTGTCTCATGAATCAGCAAATCAGAGCTGCATTAAGAAAAACTCTACACAAAATATAAAGTTACATTCAGAAAACAGCAGTATTGCCTACACTCAAAAGTCAGGAAAGGCCAAAATTAAGGTTGCATGGGCATGTGTGTAATGGATTGTAATCTTGGTTACAAGATTATAGTCTGTTTCTTAGTTAATACAATACAATATTATACAATGCTTCTACATTCTTACAGAAACACCTATAGTGTCTTGCAATTTTTTTCATTCCTTTTACTTAAGCAGTTTTCATTGTCATAATGGTCCAGTATATCTTTAATGACTTAAATATTTGAGCTCAGGTGCACCAGAGCAGGGCTCCCCTCTATGATCCTTAAACATTTCTCAAGAGATATTCCTCAACTGCTGTACACAATGCCCCATTGAAGTCTAGGGCAAAACACCTGTTGACATCAGCAAGGTCAGGATTTCACCCTCAGGCACCAAAGGAAACATGCTGGCTACCAATTTACCTGCTCCTCACTGGGTGGATGGGCTGTGGCTCACTGGGAACTTGCAGGGCTGTGGACCAGGGTAGAGAGGGCATGCAGAGATTCAGGGACCAGTGAAGCAGCTGTGAGAAATGGCGGGGAGGAGGGAGAACCGTACACAAAAGGAGTCTGTCCAGTGGGGTTCCAAGCTCCTTAGGAAGGTACTGAAAGATCTGCCTTTGAGGTAAAGGAGCCAGGGAACAGGGGTTCTATCCTTTGCTCCTTAGCAGGTGTGCAGCTATAGAGATTGCTGTTCAGGAAACTTGGAAACAGGAGCCTGGAGGAATGTGAGGAAACTTTGAAATTGAAACTGAATTTTTGTGGAATCCATTATGTGCCCTTCCTCCCTAGCAACTTTAATTAGTTCATTTGATTTCACTTGTTCTATTTAGGGAAAGAAAAAGTTAGAGATAATCCCATACTAACTAGAGTAAGCCATTAGATTGAAGTAGTCACTTGGCAGGTTACTGGCAAGAAGCAGGTATTATTTGTCATATTCATTGGTACTGTACAGATAAGGCTTCTAGGTATTTTGATCCCAGAACATTCTGTACTCATGCATTATTGCCTGCTTCTAATGCAGACCTGGACCTGAAGGACTGTCAGTATCTGTGTTTATTGGTATGCAAGGAGAAGAAATTCAACCACAAGCATCTGCCTTTCATGTCAAGTATCACAGCCCTTTTAAAATTGTAAAATGACTTTATTAAAATTCAGGGAATGACTTCTATGTTACGTGTCCCCTTTAATGAAGTAAAATGAATGAGCTGGTTCTATTTATGTAAAGCGGTCAAGACAGACTCTAAATAAATAAATAAATGCTGGCGGTGAAATAAAAGGCTTCAGGAGGCTCTTCAGTAAAGAGTGCTGCATTGTTTATAGGATATTTTTCATGGCTAGGCAAACAAAAGAAGGGGATGAACCAGAAACAAGTACACTTCTATTGTTTATCAATAAATCCCTGCTCCTCCTGTGCACAAACTGTTTAGGTTCAAGGGCAGTGAACTTATACACTTACAGGACATACCTGATATCACTGTAGCATAGTCTCTCATAAAGATATTATTTACTATGTTAACAGTCTCCCAAAATGTGCCAGGCATCTGCTGAATGAGAAATGGTGGTTTATAACAACATAGGGCTTGATCCTACAAAGACTTAGGACTTCTGGGTCATTGAACTCACGTGAGTAAAGTTACCTAGGTGCCTAAGGGCTTATCTACATGGCGGGGTAATGCACGCTACAGATGTGTGATTTCTAAAGGGTTCTAAAGTGTTGCATGTCAGTTGGTCTGTATAGACTCTGCTGGCATGAACTAGCAGTTCTTTAGTGCACTTTAACATAGTGCTGTTTCACACTATAATGCAAATAAAAAATATTTCAAAATGAAAAGTCATTTCAAAATGAAAAATCAAAATGTGGTGTTGCAAAAGTGTTAAAATGGGATGTTTTGACATTGTTGGAACTGTTTTCCTCTCCATTTTCTTCCAAAATGAAATTCTGACAAAATCTACTCTATTTTGCAAAGCATTTCATTGTTGACAGAACTGCATATTTTGATGGAACACGGTTCTTTTGAAATCTCTTCAACATGGTCCAGCCAATAGTCCTAATGAAATAATCTGGATTAGTCACATGGTTTAAGTTAATCACACTCATAAGTCTTTGCAGGATCAGTGCCTAAGTTTTCTGGAATAGCTGGAACTTGAATAAACCTACCTGAAAGCTCTCTGCTAAAATAACAATAAAAGCCTCCAAGAGTTAAGGAGGTTTCAAATGCTCTTTGAGAACGCCAGTACTTCGGTGGCAATACACATCAGGCAGGTGTGTTTTTCCCTGTGTCCGGTACATTAGACAGCACTACAGTTGTTAAATACAGTGTAAAAATCTGCATTATCACTGCTCTATACTCCACAACAAAAAACAAAAAAAGGTTAGTCTCTGAAATGTGCTATTTTGTTTCTGGGCTTTACAAATTCATCTTCTCCTCCAGTTTTTCTCCTTCACAAAACAATTAAATCTCTCCCTCTGTCTCTGCTAGGTTTCCTTTACATTTTGAATGCAAATGGGTAAACAACAGTATATTTGCATGCAGGTTGTTTACGAAGATGTGGGCTATTTTGCTAGGTCTCAAGTCTGCGGGGAAGAGCTTGCAATAGTTCTAGGCAAATGATCATTATTTTGAAGCCTCCTGTGTTTTTTCTCCATTTATTCCTAGGTGAAAATAAGCTGATAGGGGATCTCTTAGTACTAGGTGGAGCAACACTCTACGGCATCTCCAATGTTTGTGAGGAGTACATTGTCCGAAACATGAGTCGGGTGGAGTTCTTGGGCATGATTGGGCTGTTTGGCTCCTTCTTCAGTGGAATTCAGCTGTAAGTGAGAGAGTTTGCAATTTGAGCCTATTGAACTTAATTAATCAGTTAGCTTTTTCTTCGTTTCATTCCCCTTTCTTCTTAGCCAGACATTTACTGTGGAGAGTAGACTGTTTAAACTCTTGTGTTTTAAGTCTTTACTTGGTCAGTTTTAATATTTCCTGTCAGGTCAGTAAATTTCAGCAATGATCTAAATATTTATCTAAATTTGCACTGAGGCACTACAGTGAATTGTGTTCTAGAAGAACCACATGTAAACAGGTGGATACTATTTTACATCTATCAATTTGCTATTTCAAGACAAATGGCAGTTTAGCATCTTGAGCTATATTAGGAATGATGCAGGCTACACCTATCTGTAATTGTGATTCATGTTTATAAAAAGTCACCTAGAATTATAAGCAGATGGAAACACTGGCTCTTCCAGAAGGTATTTCATTAATAATTTTACTCCATGTAAATTATTTATGATATTTAGAAAACTATGAAAGAAAACACAGAAACAGTTCCTTTGCAGTGATAACACAGAAAGGGCCAAATGTTCAAAAGATTGTCTCATGAATTGCAGGCATACCCACTGCCCCCATAAAGCCACATATATTCACACAAATGGGTAGTGATGTGCACAAGTGTCCATTTTGCACTCCAGATGCAGGCTTTGTAGCGGGAGAGTAGGTTCCAGCCTTTGAAAATGTGTCTGGTAAAGGAAAATACCACCCCAAACCATTACTAAGTAATATTGCTAAATTTTATGCAGATCTGATTATTGTTGTGCCCAAAATAACTTGTAATTATTAATCAAAACTGGTGGTTTATCTGCACAGCTGATCTGCCCAGACTCCAAGTATAGAGAATGATCAGCAATAAATCCCTATTGAGTCCCACTGAACCAACTACATTTGTTTAGTAGGCTCATTTATTATTTTTGTATACCCATTGTTGTGGCATCTGGGCACGACTTAAGTGTTTGAAATCAACTGCTCGCTGCACAAGTAAAGTTCATTAAGGAAATAAGAACTGGTAAAAATGTCTGATTTGCTTGGGGAAAATCATTTTTATTGCCTAGCTATACATGGTCAGCAATAGGTAATGATACTGAAGACAGTCAGTGTGGAGTCTTACTAAGTGTATGTCAACTTAGACACATCTAGGAGGCAGTGTTGCCTGATGGAGACTGCACTGGGCTGTGACTCAGGAGAGTGGGGTTCTGGTCCCAGCTCTGCTGCTTGCCTTTGGGAGCTCACTTTACACCTGTACCATTTGTAAAATGGGGGTACTGATACTGTGACCTCCTTTATAAATTGCTTTAAAACCTATGGATGAAAAGCACGATATATTATATTAAAATAATAATACAATACACCATTAGAGTTTTCTGCATTACATTTATATAAGCATAGCTTGAAAAGCTGTGGGTGATTATTAGCTACTTCAGTGCAATGAGGATCTAAAATAGCTGGGAACAGTCTGGAGAAGGAATCTGACTTGGAAATTAGACAGTTGCCCAGCACGTCAGCAACAGCACCTATTTTGGTGGCATCCGTGGGTGCTGGGATAGAAATTAATGGATGCTAATCTGGGCACTGTAGTGAGGAAACATAAAACAGTCTGAAAAATGAAGCATCTACTACAAAATCTAGTGTGAGGAAGAGTGAGTTTGATAGTAAAGCTGCAATATTTCATTCTAGCTTACTCTTGTCTGGAGAGTTGCATCCTGAGGACAGGGGGGAGGGGGCAGGGAAAGGAGGAAGAAATTGTATTTGTTTGCTATTGATATATTTGTAAATCTAATGCTGAGCATAAAATAATGAGATCAGTTTGTCTGTAAAAGAATGGAATTATACGTGCCTTTGTATGCATGAGACGTATGTCTCTGTTTACGGGCTGTCCCCCAGGATTGTCTTGAAAACAAAATGCTGCGACTCATGAGGTTACCCTGCTGAGCAACAATTTAAATGAAGTTAAATCTAAGAACTTTGCTGCAAGGTTCCAGGTCAGGAAACGGCAATACAGAAGAAGTATATGGCAGTAAATTATGTTCTGTGGAACAACACTCCATTAGGTTGTATGTCCCCCTCATTTACCATGTAGTTGTTATAGATCATGAACAGTCCTCTTCTCACCAACTAACTTCCCCTTCTGATTTTGACACCTAGCTCTCTGTCTTCCTCTCATCATTGTCTCCCACCCTCATCCTCTACACTTGAACTTCCAGAGTACTGGGCCACTTAGCCTCTTGTCTCCCTACCCTCATCTCCTTGTTTGCTCTGCAGCTTTGAGGCACCATTTGCTTCTTCAACAATCATTGCCTTGCCTTATTCTATGTATGCTGCCCTCTATACATGGGATGCCCTTTCTGAGATAGTCCACAAAATCACAGCCTTCTCCTTGTTGAAACCCCTCCTGGAGACACACCTCTACTGCAGTGACTAAACGTAGAGTAATTTGTCTCTCTTCCTTTAAATATTGCTTGCTTGCTTGCTTGCTTGAAGATTATAATATGGTCTGTTTTGAGGGGCTCTGTGCTGAGCCAAGTGGCCTGCTAGGCTAGGCTGAGAGCTTACTAATGAGCTTACTAACTGCGATCTCTTGATTCCTAACCTCCTTAGGATGCTTTGACAAGGGGGCGGGGCTAACTCAGGTAGAACAAGGGTTTAAAGAGCCAGCTCCACAGCAACCAGAGAAGCTAGTGAACAGGGAAGTTTTGTGAGGGAGTTTGAAAGACATTCCTTTCAGGTCCAGCTCTCAAGCAGAGAGAGTTCCATGACAGAATGTGAGAGCATAAAACAGAGTGAGATACCAAGATTAGGTAGGGAGAGTTCAGTAGGAGGGAGAGGTGGCTGAGGGACTATAACATAACTACTAGAAGAGGGTCAGAAAGACCTCTTGAAAAAAAAAGACACAGGAGGTAAGGGAAAAAGGGACATGAGTATGAGAGAAAGGGGGAGAGGAGGAAGACACCTAGCAAACATACTCTAAACTTAGGCCAATAACGCCACCCCCCCAAAAAATAAATAAATAAAACCCCAAAACCACTCCTGCAAAAGTAAAAAGAATGCAGGCAGAAGTCCATCACAGAGTGGATGCTCTCCAGTTTATTGCAGTGAATGCAGCATGGGCACATGGTATATATGTGCATTTGATGCAAGAAACTCATGGCCAAAGAGACACAATATGAGCTCTTGAGGCTAGAGTGGCGGAACTGAAGGAGCTAAGGGAGACAGAGAGGTACATAGAAGGGACTTTCAGGAAACACAATAGAGTGGTCCCACCGCCAGTTTGACAGCGTCTGTGCTGTTGAAAAGGATAAAAATCTCAGGGAAGGGAGAACATCAAGCCGGAGCATAGGGAAATGATTCTATATTTGGAACTTCCTTCTAGATGACATCATGGTTTCCTTCTGGGGAGGAAACCCCCATTATTAGGAAGAGCCAGGTAATAGTGATGGGAGATTTGCTTATTAGAAATATAAATAGTTGGGTTTATGATGACAGGAGAACCGCATGGTGAATTGCCCTCTAGATGCAAAGTTTGCAGATCTCATGAGACATCTAGGCAGACTTATGTGCAGTCCTGGGGAGGAGCTGATGGTCATGGTACATGTAAATGGTACATGGTACATGATGGTCATGGTACATGTAAATACCAGTGACATACAGAAAAGTAAAAGAGAGCTCCTGGAGGCCAAATTTAGGCTGCTAGGTTAGAGATTAAAGTCTAGGACCTCCATGGTAGTGTTCTCTAAAATACTCCAGTTCCATGCACAGGGCCAGAAAGACAGGTGGAACTGTGGGGTCTCAAAGTGTGGATGAGATAATTGTGTTGAGAGGAGGGTTTTAGGTTTATTAGGAACTGGAGAACCTTTTGGGAAAGTGGGAGCCTATACAGGAAAGATGGGCTCCACCTAAACCAAAACAGAACTAGCCTGCTGGCATGTAAAATGAAAAGGTTATAGAAGATTTTTTAAAATTAAGGGCTGGAGTAAAGTTCACAGGTGTGATGGAGCACACAATTCGGGTGGAGACATCCCTTAGGGAAGAGTTTATTAAAGGGGAAACTCTATATCTTAGTAAAGAGGATAGGAAAGAAGTTGATAAAATACAGGTATGAACTAGTGAGGAACAGTCAAACATAAGAGTCCCATTTAAATATAACACACAAAGGCAAGCAACTGATTACTGGCAAAATGTACAAGTGTTTATATACAGATGCTAGAAGTCTAAATACGAAGACGGATGAACAGTAGTGCCTGACATTAAATGAGGATAGTGATATAATAAGGCACAGCAGAAACTTATTAGAATGATGATAATCAACAGGACTTGGTAATATCAGGGTTTAAAATATATAGAAATGATAGAGTAGATTGCAGTGGTGGGGGAGTGGCACTATATGTGAAAGAAAGCATAGAGTCAAATAAAGTAAAAATCTTAAATGAATAAAACTGTACTATAGAATCACTATGGATAGAAATTCCATACTTCAACAATAAGAGTATTGCAGTAGGAATATACTACTGACCCCCTGACCAGGATGGTGACAGTAATTGTGAAATGCTCAAGGAGATTACAGACAGAAAACACAATAATAATGACGGATTTCAACTATCCTCATATTGGCTGGGTATATGTCACCTCAGGAAGGGATGTAGAGATAAAACTTCTGGACAACATTAGTGACTGCTTCTTGGAGCAACTTGTCCTGGAACCCACAAGGGGAGAGGCCATTTTTGATTTAGTCCTGAGTGGAGCACACAATTTGGTCCAAGAGGTGAATATAACTGAATGGTTCAATAATAGCGATCATGGTGTAATTAAATTTAATATCCTTGTGGGTGGGGGGGAAGTGCCAAAGACACCTACCACTGCAGCATTTAACATCAAAAAGGAAAGTTGTGCAAAAATGAGGAAGCTAGCTAAACAGAAAGTAAAAGCAACAGTCACAAAATGCCTGCAAACGGCATGGAAACTCTGTAAAAACACCATAATAGAGGCTTACAGTAAATGTATACCCCAAATAAAAAAAATGGAGGACCAAAAATGCCACCATGGCTAAACAGCAGAATAAAACAGGTGGTTAGAGGCGAAAAGACTTTCATTAAAAATCGGAAGTAAAATCCTAGTGAGGAAAACAGAAAGGAGCATAAACTCTGGCATGTCAGGTGTAAAAGTGTAATAAACCAGGCCAAGAAAGAATTTGAAAGAGCAAACACCAAAAGACACAAAAACTAACAGAATTTTTTTTTAAGTACATAAGAAGCAGGAAGCTGCTATAACAGTCTGTGGGGCCATTGGACAATCGGGGTGCTGCTAAAGGAGCACTCAAGGAAGACAAGGCCGTTGAGGAGAAACTAAGTGAATTCTTTGCATCAGTCTTCACTGCAGAGGATGAGAGAAATTCCTGCACTTGAGCTGGGTTTTTTTGTTTTTTTGGGTTTTTTTGGTGACAAATCTGAGGGACTGTCCCACATTGAGGTGTCAGTAGAGGAGGCTTTGGCACAAACTGATACATTAAACAGTAGTGAGTCACCAGGACCTGATGGTATTCACCCAAGAGTTCTGAAGAAACTCAAATATGAAATTGCAGAACTACTAACTTAAATCAGCCTCTGTAGATGATTGGAGGGTAGCTAATGTAACACCTATTTTTTAAAAAGCCTCCAGAAGTGATTCTGGCAATTACAGGTGAGTAAGCCTAACTTCAGTACTAGGGCAAGTGGCTGATATTATAGTAAAGAACAAAATTATCAAACACATAGATAAACATGGTATGTTGGGGTGGAGCCAACATGGCTTTTATAAAGGGAAATCATGCTTCACCAATCTATTAGAATTCTTTGTGGGTGTCAACAAATATGTGGACCAGGGTGATCCAGTAGATATAATGGACTTGGACTTTCAGAAAGCCTTTGACTAGGTACCTCACCAAAGGCTCTTAAGAAAACTAAGTAGTCATGGAATAAGAGGTAAGGTCCTCTCATGGATTAGTAACTGGTTAAAAGATAGGAAACAAAGGATAGAAATAAATGCTTAGTTTTCAGATGGAGGTAAATAAATAGGTCCCAAAGATCTGAACTGTTCACCATATTCATAAGTAATCTGGGAAAGGGGGTTAACACTGAGGTGGCAAAATTTGAAGGCAATACAAAATTACTCAAGATAGTTAAGTTCAAAAGTGACTGTGAAGAGTTTCAAAGGCATCTCACTAAACTTGGCAACAAAGTGGCAGCTGAAATTCACTGTTGATAAGTGTAAAGTTATGCACATTGGAAAACATAATCCCAACTATACCTACAAAATGGTGGAGTCTAAATTAGCTGTTACCATTCAAGAAAGATTTTGGAGTCAATGTGGATAGTTCTCTGAAAACATCTGTTCAGTATGCAGCAGGAGTAAAAAAAACAAAAAAACAGAATGTTAGAAACCATTAGGAAAGGGCTAGATAATAAGCCAGAAAATAACATAATGTCACTATATAAATCCATGGTACCCCCGCACCTTCCATACAAGGCGAAGTTTAAAAGCGTGGAACTGTTCAGCTTAAGAAAGAGACAACTAAGATAGGTATGATAGAGGTGTATAAAATCATGAATAGTATAGAAAGAATGTTATTTACCCGTTCATGTAACACAAGAAGTAGGGAAAATTAAATTTCCAATGAAATTAATAGGCAGCAGGTTTAAAACAAACAAAAGGAAATACTTCTTCACAAACACACAGTCATCCTGTAGAACTTGTTGCCAGGGGATGTTGTGAAGGCCAAAAGTATAATTGGGTTAACAAAATAATTAAATAAGTTCATGGAAGATAAGTCCAACAATGCCAATTAGCCAAGATGGTCAGAAACACAAACCCATGCTGCGGTTCTCCCTAAACCTCCAACTTCCAGAAACTGCGACTGGATGACAGGGAATGGATCACTCGATATTGCCCTATTCTGTTCATTCCCTCTTGAAGAATCTGGCATTGGCCACAGTCAGAAGATAGGACACTGGGCTAGATGCACAATTGGTCTGACCCAGTATGGACATTCTTATATTTTTAAATATTTATATATTAGAAAGCTAAGCAAAAGTATTGTCATGAAAACTCTGAAGCATACATAGTGTATTCTATCACTTGTTTGTGGGTCCCCTTTCCTTTCCCATGCATCTCTCTCTTTGTTTTGTATTTTTTGGAGTGCAAGCTCTTTGGGACAGGAACCGTGCCTCCTTTTGTCTTGTGCCTGGTGGGTGCAGCTGGAAACTCATAATAATAATAAAGAAAAGTGGTAGCTGCATATTATGCTTTTTGAAAATTGTTTCAGAATTATTTTAAGCCTCTCTGTACATGAGAGGAAAGGGGGATCTTCACTTTAAGAATCAAAAACTCATAAGAGCCCTGCACAGCAGGGTTTCATCCCCAAATCACAGGCCAGAGAAGGCTGGTTGAGTGGTGAACTAGCTAGGAGGAGTCCTGACCTGTAGGATCCCATCATTAGAGCACGGGGGGCCTTATTGGCACCTCACTATTTCCTTATACTCCCCCATCTATTCGTATCCATCTCTTGTCTTTTGTCTTTATAAATTCTTTGGGGCAGGGACCGCTTTTTTGTTCTGTGTCTGTGCCTAGCACAAGGGGGTCTTGGTCCAAAGCAGGGACTCTTATGCACTACAATAACACAAATAATAAGGGTCTTCGTGTTAATGGGCTTTTAAAATTCAGTTAACCTTGAAACTAAATCCTGAATGGACTCCTTCAGTTTGGCCCACCCTTAGTTTTGTTTCTTGAGTTTTATTGCTATGATTACGTGGTTTCTCTCTTAATGTTTGACAAATTGTAGCACTGGATGTTTTCCCCAAGACCATTCTGTGAAATCTGCCACCTCAAGTCTGTGATTTACTCATCATTGTATTTATTCTACACTGCAGAGGAGCTTTGAAGAGTGTATAACTCATGCAGATACATTATCAATCCTTAAAGTTCAAGAGCTTTAAGAATATTAAGTCCCAAAGGTCAGGCTGGTATGAAAGTGTGGTGGGGGGGCAGAGGGGGGCAGCTCTGGATTAACAGCCAGAGATTTGGAGATAAACCAGGGCAAATCACATGCTATAAAATCTGATTACTGCACCAAAGATCTTTCCAACACACAGATATAGGGATAAAACCAAAGTGGGTTATCTAGGTCCGACTGCATTTGGTCTGTATAGCTGTTTTCAGAGTCTGTTGTTATAAGGCTATTCATTTTGTGTTGTCCACCATATGAATTGCATGAGTGGAAGTAATTTAAGTTCTGTTCCTCCCCATCAAACTTTGCCTTCTTTTCTTTTCCAGTGCAATAATGGAACACAAGGAGTTGTTAAAAGTTCCCTGGGATTGGCAAATAGGTAAGAAGATAATTCACTTCATTGAAGACTGTTGCTGAAGAAAGCAACAGGAGGAATAATTCTTAGGGAGGAGTGTGGGAGGGCTAAAGGAGGCAAGGTTTGCTATATTCAAGCAAGCTACCGTCAAAGGTTGGAACTCCATACCTCATAACCTTTTAAACTGATCTATGCCCCCACTTCTCCCACTGCCATATTATATATTCCCTGCACCATTAGGCTTTAGGCAGAGAAGAAGCATGTGAATGTCATAAGTAAATCACTCTGGTAGCAGGGTGACCTCACCAATAACAGGCTTCTCATTCCAAAATTCAGTGCAGCACTGAGACAAATAACCATAGTGGTTGTTAAAAGCCAACATTTTACACTCAGTGCAAAGGAAAGAAAACAGAACTTAACAAAAAACTGTAAAAGAAAATTGCCTGCACTGGATTTCTCAGGTCCATAAAACCTTTTCTGAGAGGAGCATTTCTGCATGCAGATAGTTAATTGCTCTCCAAGTGAACTTGGTGAGTTGTAACAGACATGTATTTCAAGTAAGTTTTTGGTAGCATCATGCACAATGACCATACTGCATATTAAGAGGGGGGTGGGGGCACCATTGTTTGGCTTGTTGGAGGAAGGTGTGTACCTCATTAAGGGGCTAGAGAGGAATGGAGCAACTTTTACAGATGCTGCAGAGCATGTCCGTGTGGGAACATTGACCCATCCCTCCTCCCAGGTGACTAGAAGAGAAGGGGTACTATAGAGGTCCATGCCAGTCAGGAAAAGCCCTCTTTTATTTGGACCAGATAAAATGGATTGGTAAAGGATTTAAAGGAGGTATTTGTTAAAGAAGCAGAAACATGGGGGATTCGGGGCTCTTATTACTGCACAGCAGGGAGCCAACTCCCCCTCCTTCGAGGAGTGGAGATGGCGAGGTTCCAACAGCAGGTCTGCTGGGGTCCAGGATGGGTAAGGGGGAGGGCTGTTGGAAACCCCCCCAAGTATATATGACAACCTGCACTTTATATATTTATCTGCCAACTACTCCCAGACAGTTAAGAATAAAGTTGTGGCCTAATTAAACCACATCCAGTGCCACCTGTCCTTCCAGCATAGCTGGACTATGAAACTTGTAGTGATTCACTTTGCACACTGGCTGGCTTATTCCCTTTTCAAGTTGGAAAATGAGTTTGAGTCTAAGATTCTGTTCTGATAACTCAAGCAAATTATTTCCCCTTTTTGAAAAATCAACATTTAGGGACAGTTAGTTCCTAAAACATCATGGTTGGCATCTGTGACAATAGAAGCATTTAGTTGAATGCTGATAACACACAATACCACATTCTGTGCAAGAGGTTGAAATACTGAGCAGGAGATCAGGCTTTGATTATACAGCAACAGCATCTTGTTAACCTAGTTTCAAAATGAGCATCAAGGTATCACCTCAGAAATATGGAAATCAGCTGGTTATATAGGGAATCTCCGAGAAGTGGAGTGATAAGTAACATGGTAGTGTGTTCTTTCTTTACTGCTTTAGTCACTATTTCCTCTAATTATCCTAAACCTTAACAGAGCAATGCATCTGTCATGAAGCATTGTCACTACAAGTCTTGGAAATTTTACACAAGATTGAAAACTAAATGACAAATCAGTTAAAGTATCAGCTGAGGAACAAACCATGCTGCAGATTGTAGATTCATTTGCTTTCATTCGTCTGAGATCCTTAACAAAACTCTAGCAGAGATTGGTAACTTTTCATGTTAAGAAGCCTATGATCATGAATTAATTTGTTACTGATGGTACTAGCAATCATCACAGTGAATTCATCTCCGAGTTATGTGGATGTCATATGTAGCTACACAAGAGTTCTGTTGTAATTCAGGATTAGTTAAGTGTGCCCTTAAAATAAAGTCACACTCGGTGGTCTCCACTGCCATTAAAATGTCTTCCCAAGTTAGTCACAATTTGTAAGAGTAGAAGGAGGAAAACAACCTGCCAAGAATGGTGTACAGGTGTACTTGTTTTGTGAGTGCAATAATTCGAAATGTGGTTGAGTTGCCAAAGAACATGGATAAAATGATGATAACTTTGTATAGTTTTGAATTCTTCCCTGGCTTCTACTGTACTTGGTGAATTTTCCAGTGCGTTGGCAGCATTGTAAGTTTGTCAAGAAGTGATTGACAAGACAACATCAAGGAGGACACAACCTTGCTTGTCCTAAATAGTTATCCTGTGCAGCAGATTTAAACCTGTGGCCTAGCACAGTTAAATCTTCAGCCCTTTGAATGGTAGTGATAAAGTCATAGCAGGCAACCTAATAAATAATGAAAGATGGCCTCTTGCCACCTACCATACAACATTCACAACAGTGATTTCATATTATAAGTATAGATTGAAACTGTGATATCTCAGATACCAATGTGTGGTAACTATGGGCATTTGCTGATATTTTAGGATGACCACTATATATGTTTTATACAAAGGTATACTTCTGTTGAACTGCTTCTATGAGATCCAAACCATGAGTATTATGGTAGCATTTGTTTGCTGAGTAGCTTTTTTAAAAAAAAGATACAAAATCAGCAGGACTTTATCCATTGTTATTATCAGTCAATTCCTTATTTTGTACTTTCAAGGCTCTGGGTATCAGATTCTCTGCAGTTATAAGTCAGTGCCTCTGAAGGGCTAGCATGAGGCTAAATTTAGTTCATGCACACATTGCAACATCCAGTAGCAGTGGAATTATCATTTGCTTGAGTGCAGATGAGTGGAGAAGTTGAGTTTTTAAAAAAAAAACCTTGCTTTGGGATTTACCACCAAATAATTGCTGTTGTGAATTCTTCCCTGGTAGGGCTTCAGATGTTTTTTTTAAGTGAAATTACTTTTTTAATAGAATGTATTATTTATATTACATCAGTGCCTAGATGTCCCACTGTGTTACAAACTGTACAGACACATAGTAGGAGACAGTCCTTGTCCTGAAAAGCATGCAATTTAAAAAGACAGATGAAGGATGGGAGAGTAAATAGAGGCACAGAGTTGTACAGGGATTTGCCCAAGGTCACATGAAAGATCAGTGGCAGAGCCAGGAGCAGACTGCAGGTCTCTTTATTCGCAGCCCAGTGCCCTGTCCATTGGACAGTTCTTTATCTGCAAGTGCAGTATAATCCATTTTATGGGTCTAATCCTGAATGCTCTCAACTCCTGTTGAATTCAGTGGGAACTGAGCATGTTCAGCACCTTAGAGGATTAGGTCCAGTTTGGGGGATGCCCCAAAACACAGTTTCATTTCCCATTAAGAAGATAGATAGAAGATACTATTTTAATAGTAAAGCTATTCTCATGGGAACTACAAAACACTTTGTGTTATTGGACTGGTCCAAAATGTTGAAAAGGCAATATCTGCACTGGGATGGGTAGTTAGCTTGCTTCTTGCTCAATGGCAGTGGCATCTGCAAGACACACAGCATAGCTGCTTAACATGTCTAAGAGGGGATGGAAATATTCTCTTATGTAAAAATGAAGCCAGCCACACACAGTCACCTGGTGATCTTCTGAATGAGTGAAGAGAGTTTTGATGAAAACCTGCTTGAGTGACTGGTGCTCTAAATGTCATGGAGAAACTTCAGTGTCTCAATGCAGACTGCCTGACAACAACCCAGATGGGCTATCCAACCATAGCATCTGATGTCAAGGTGTAGCAGCACTGAAGAATTGCATTCATCCAGTCAGGGCACAAAAACATGGGCATCCAGCGGGCAACATACGAACTATGTGCCCAATCAAAACAGCATGAATTTCTAATTTAGAATATTCACAGCAAACCCCTGTCAAACAAGCTATAGGCCAAAAATTATTCACAGAATGTATTATTTGAATAATTTTGAATATCCAGCACATTTGAATAAATTGTGATGAGCTCACAGACAATTCAAAAACAGAAGAACAGGTGTAATTTGTTCAATAAATAATTCATTATGAATTAGACACCAAGTTCTATTGATTGTGTGATTGTCCTAATGAATGAAAAACCTGTAGTCTGCCATGATGACTTACGCTATTTATACCACACCAGGCAAGATATCTGCAAAACAGTTGTAAGTACACAGGTTTTGGTACACATTTCTCATATTTAATCAGTCATATTCTCAGTTGATTTAAATTGATGTAGCTCACTGACTTCAATGGAGCTGTAACAGCTTACATCAGCTGGGGATCTGGTCCTGTGTGATTTAGACATTCGTAGCGATTGCATGATTTATTAGAGGATTTTACATTTCCACTGGTATAGTACGTATTTATATTAATGCTCCAAGTATGTCTATAAATATATACACAGGTTAATAATTTAAATAAATGTTCTTTGAAAAAATATTCTTAATTCTTTTTTAAACAGTGTGGCTTTCTTCTTTCTCACCACACAAATTTAGGCAATATTGAACCTTTGGATAGACTGTGGTAGATCATTTTTTCTTGTTCCTCTTCCCCCAGGGTTGCTGTATGTCGGCTTTAGTGCCTGTATGTTTGGCCTCTACAGCTTCATGCCAGTGGTCATTAAGAAAACCAGTGCTACTGCAGTCAACCTCTCCCTGCTCACAGCCGACCTGTACAGCCTATTCTGTGGATTATTCCTCTTTAACTACAAGGTAAATTGAATAGATTATGTATTTGAATGATGACTCTCTCTGAAGTAGTGTCGGTGCAGAGAAATGAATCAGTCTAAGGACCACAGCGAGAACTGCTGTTTTTTTGATGGGTCTGTGCAGTGAAGTGGAGAACGTTTGATGTATCTGTTATTACTTACTAAAAGTGCAGTCTTCCCAGTACTCTCCTTTCCCCCAATGTAAACCACTTTTTGTGTGCTTCTCCTTTGTTCTGAAATTACCTCTCTGAGGGAGAAGCTAATTCAGTCTCCATGCCTACTTAATCCCTCACCCCCATCCTTGACCAGAGCCAAACTGGTGTGTGAGGGGAAAGTCACTTTATAAACCATTAACAGATCCCTTAACATATTTTTGCAAGGTGATGATCTTGTTTTGTGTTTCATACTGTATCTGAAATAGTTTTAACTGGTGAATTATTTTTGCATGATGTCTCTTAGCTGTCCAAAACATAGCTGCAAAAATGTCCTTTTTGTCAGCTGTTCCAATGGCTTGGCTGTTAGTGTATCAGAATGTGAAGGAGACTTATGATAAAGTCAAACCTCTAGCTCTCAAGCCATCTGATATTTAGAACATGGCAAAGGCCACACTCTAGGCCTCCAGTTGCAAGGGATTATGTCACACTATTCACAAGCCTCCCTGGGTGGCCATCTTAAAAATGGCATTATGCTCTTGGAGGCGATTGCTATGTAGCCATGATTTATTCCGAAAAGGGAGGTGACTTAATGGGAAAAATGGTGACCTGGAAACTAGTGGAGGAAAATGAAAGCCTGATGATGCTGGCCTGGCAAACAATCCAGAGTAAGGGTTTAATGTATATGAATGGTGAGGAAATGTCCACATGCAAAACTTCAGGGCCCAACCCAAGAACAAAATTTCTTATTTGCCTATTATGTCATGCTAATGACTCTTCAAGGGCATTGCAGATACCAAATAAAGATGCATATGGAATCCAAAACTAAATTAAAAACACACTGTAGAGGGCGCTTGCTGGACTACAGGACTGATAAGGGATATGGAGTCCCTTACTTCTAGATCACCAGTTCAAATCACTAGTGACTGAAAAGTGCTCCTATCTGATGGCTGCTTGGAGTCGTATAGTGAAATGTGCTTAGTTGTGTCAGTCCAGTTTCTTAAGGACAAGTAGCCACATCACAAAAAACAGAGATGGACAAACCCAGGTTGGATTTGCTTTCACAATGTCATTGGTCATTTTGCTTTAGCAAAGCCATCCATATTCCACAACAGGAGAATCAGATCCAGGTCCCATTTTGTCCAAATGCTTATAATTCCGCAGGGTAGCAAGAATTGGATATGTGATTTTAGTTTCGGCCCATGTTTGTTCCAGATAGAGATGGACAAAAAGATGTGTGATTTTGGTTTTGCAAAACAAACCCTGGTGCTGGATCTTGATCCAGTTTTACCTGAACCCTAAAGTGCAGGGGATGGATAAATGGTTCCATTTTTGTTTCATTTCTATAAAATAAAGTTTAAAAAATAATCAATTGATATCGTTGCCAGCAGTCCCAGCCCAGATTTTGAGGACTGAATTATCATGAAGAATGACCCACATTCATAAGCTCTTGGGGGCATGCATTTTCTGTTATATGCATGTGTGCAGTGCCTAGCACAATGGGGCCTTGGTCTCCACTCAGAGATGGTGATTGCTACCAGGAGAGATATAATTAATAACAATAGTAAAATAATCCCTCCAGTTGGAAGCCCTGTTGGGAAGTGTGGAGAAGTTTGCCCTGCCTCTACACCAATGCAGTACCAATCTCAGTGCTGCCAGTCTGTCTCCTTTCACAATCTTCATGATCACTGGGGAGGAAAATTTAAAAAGAGGAAAAGGGACTGGTAAAAGAGCTGAATTAAAATTCCAGCTCTAGCTGTCTGAACATTTTTTACATGTCAAATTAATTTCTCTTGTTCTGATCCTTATTCTGGTCTTTTTCTCTGGTTTACTATCAGGTATGATTTTTATATGAAGGAGAGCTGTAAAGCGGGCTCCCTGCATGAAATAATGAAGTCTAATACATATGCATTAAATGACCTAAATTAATTCCCCTTCTAGGAGTGCATGTTTTCTAGTTTCGGAAAAGCTGTTCTGTTCCCAGCCCATCTGTACCTCTTCTTCTGATGCACGGTACTTTCTTTTTATTGCTGTGCTGACCAATGGGTGAAGCCCCACTTCACAGCAAATGGCTTTATGCTAAATTAGAATCATCTGAGTGGTTTAGTGTCCCTTACAGAATATAATTTTATGAGGCTTTCAAGAAACAGTTATGATTTTTCCCTGTGCCACTACTTTTATCACCTGACAGCTTTATTGCACCTACAGCAGTAAATCTATGAAAATCCATGGAAAATACAAGAAATGAGTTTTACTGGGCTTACAGCCTCAGAAACCAAAGTGAAGAAGAGATTATATTTGAAGTGTTTTGATTTGTTAATATTTTATCTTCTTACAACAAGGACTCATGCTATCTTGATATACAGGACAGTATGCTTATAAATAAACCAACATCTATAGGTATTATATGCACTCCATATGCTAGTGTCTCTGTATTATATTGGCCAGTCCCCAAATGTTAGTCTGTAGTAAACAAAAAATATAGCATGTATCTCAAACTCAACTCTAATGGAGGATTAATGATGTAAGAAGTGACTTTTATATAAAAATAAAATATAATTATTTGTGGCTTGCAACTTGAGATAGATTTCTGAGTATGCAAATTGCAGTTCTTTTTTAAAAAACAAATCAAACTATTCGAATTCTGCCAACTAAATGTTCTGGAAGTCTTTTTTTTTTTAAATCAGTAACTGAGTCCAAATGTGCTGCTTGTGAGAGAAAGATGTTTATCAATGCCCTGTCAAGTAGCTGCATAATTCTCCTTACTGAATTAACATCTTAAGCACAGCATAAATTTTCATTGCATTTATCCCCCTGTCTTCTGACTCTTCTGGCCCAGGTGCAACCCTTTGACCTGTCTGTCAAGAGTGATCTAGCCATCTCCCTGCTTGAAAAATAAGGTCCATCAGGATCTTAAAACAGAATTAAGACAAGGAATTAAAAGAGTTGTTTGGTTTTCCTATTTCTATCATATTGAATCAGGCCATACATTCTCCCAATATCTCTCTAGGTCTCTCTCTCTTGTTTTTTAGCTTCTGTGAAATACATTGGTGGTGGCAGGGAAAATGAGTGCTATATGGGCTGTGATGTGGTGGGTAAATTCCACGCTAACACAGCCAGGGAAAGGCTTAATTCCCACCAAACAGAGCCAGGCAGAGGTCCTATTATAACCTGTGGATTTTACTCAGCCTGCACATCAGAGTACATACTTAAGCAGGAAGAGGTAGCAACTTGGGGGTGCGCAGGGAAACAGCCTGCCTCTCTCCTTCCAGTCTGAGGAGTCCCCATGGTGGGAGACTGAGGAGGCAGTTTGTTTGGACTTCATTTCTTTTGATTTTTTTGTTACATGATCCTGGCTTACTTTACCTCTTGCAGTGAGTGAACAGATCAGTCTGGCCTAAGTGGACAGTTGTATTGTGGGATGGTACCCCAAGTATGGGTGGCTTCATTTGACTGGAGGACCAGATATAAAGAGCCACAAAGACTGGGTAACATACATACACCCCAAGGAAGAGAGGGAAGCAGTGGAACTAAGTGGCCTGAGTCAGGAAGCAGAGAAGGCTTGATGCTTGGAGTGGGTGCCTGCTTCCTTTTCAGGTCCCAAGCTGAAACTTCCAGTAGAGGGCAGGCTAGGCTGCACCTCCCCTTCAACCACACCATATCAAAACAGGACCTTGTCACCTTGTCCCATTCCCACTGGATATGAGCAAGGCTGCAAGTTTGTCACGGAGGTCATGGAAGTTATGGATTCCGTGACTTTCAGTGACCTCCATGACTTCTTCAGTGGCCAGCTGCACCAGCTGCTGCTGGGCAGTCTCGGGCCACTGCTCCCCCTCCCCAGCAGCAACAGGAGTTTGGATGGGGGGATGGGGGTTGGGGCATGGGAGGGGATGAGGGCTCTGGGTGGCTCTTACCTTGTGGGTAGGGCTCCCCAGAAGCAGAGGTATCCCTCAGCTCCTAGGGGGAGGTGCGGCCACGGGGTTCTGTGCACTGCCTCTGCCTGCAAGCACTGCCCCCACAGCTCCCATTGACCGTGGTTCCCCTGAGGGATGTCGCTGCTTCTGGGGAGGCGTGGAGCCTGGTAGGGAGCCTGCCAGCCCTGCCAAACCCCGCCCCCCGCCCCACTCCAGCACCAGCATGGGTCCCAGGCCGTGCACCACCACCCACTCCCCACAGCACCAGCAGGGGTCCGAGGCCCCCCTGAGCATCCACAGTGCCCCCCCCAGGCTGCCCTTTGAGTACCTACAACACCCCCCTGGGTCTCCCTCCCAGCATCCATGGCACCTCCAGGCTGCCCCACTCCCCAAGATTTAGTCAGGAGTATATAGTACAAGTCATGAACAGGTCATGGGCCATGAGTTTTTGTTTATTGCCTGTGACCTGTCCATGACTTTTACTAAAAATACCCATGACTAAAACATGGCCTTAGATATGAGTAATTCCCATATACAGTACTTTAATGGAAGTTACTTGGATCAAAGATGGGAACAGAGAAGAGAGAGAATCAGGTCTCTGGTCTTATAGTAGAGCCTTCATTTTCATTCCAAGTTACTTGTCTCTTCCTGTGTGGAAATGTCTGGGAAGCTAATACTTCCCCTGTTCTTGCAATTCACACTGGGATTATGTCTGTCCCCTATGCAAGTGTGTAACGGGAGAGTAAGTTCTTGCCCTCTCTCCTGCCATTCACACTTGTGCAGGGCCAGCCACATTCTGTCCCTTAGTTTCATTATAGTGTCAAGGTTGCTGCTATATTTCAGACTAACTACAATTTATATATAAGGAATTTTAATTTTTTTTAAACTATATAAAAGAAAATGTACGGACATCAAACAGTGAAGGCAACAATAGAGTG